CCACTTCCTCACATAAAAAAAATTGCAGATGCGTTGCTACTTTTTAATAAAGTGGACCTAATATTAAGTTTGAAATGATTTGCAGCCGCCGTAACGTTTCTGATGCATTGCCAGCTTTTAATACAGAGACAACTTCGCAGACTGCGGTGGAGCCGCGCAACTGTCTTCACTGTTGAACGAATAGGCAAATCCATCCGGTGACCATATATATATACCACGACCTACAAAAGATCGGCGTGAAGTGAAAATACTTCTGCATTTCGTCTGGTGAGTGAGGTGGCCGGACCCCAATTTTTAAAAGGTTGTCAACGCATCTGGAACCCTCGGCTGTAGCAGAAGTCCACTGTATTCACATAATATCAGCTGAACCGTCTCCTCGCTTTGCAACTTTTCACATAAAAAAGACACCTTCAGCCCGTACCACTGATACAGTAGAGGTGGGAACCTGGAGTTGAAGAGTAATTTACTTATAAATTTAACAAAATCATGTTTATACGACGGTGAACTGGTGAATAAAGATCGGATTATTTGCAAAATAATAACAGTCTTTTACCAAGCGTATTCAGACATCATCCCCTAACCTTTCAGTAACCAGTCGTTTCTTTTATTGTAACTTTATATATAGTGTCATGGTGCACAATTTTAAGTTATCAGATTCATGCCAATTATAGCCCTCTTTTTTACTCATAAGCTCATAACTTTACTTATGGTAAGTATGCATTACACACAGTGTTGTTAATATTACACTTGTGAAAGACTTACACGAAATAAAAAAAAATATTAGTATATTTTATACTCGCAACGAAGTAATCAGATGATAAAGTGGTCATAGTATAAATTTATGATTAAAGCTCAGGTATGTGCCCCCAATCTTGTGTCAAGAACGAAGTATTATTCTGCAAACCCGACTCAGACAGACCATTGCAAGTCCCTTTACCCTACGTGAAAAAACGGTGATACAAAGTTTGAATTGTATGTTCACTGAATATCTACAAACAAATCAATCACTATAAGTATTGACAAGGAATAATATTTGATTTTTTTTTTCATTTATTTCGTTTTGATTTAACACATAAAGGGGGGAGGGGTTAATTGGAACCTGTCCAGATAAAAAAATTGAAAAGAATTGATTGGTCTTTAATAAGTAACTAAGTTACTTTTTTATTTTACTATATCTAAATTATTTTGATAAAAATATTTAAAATGATATTAATTCTTTCAACTTTATCTTTTTGATTTTTTTAATTAGGCTGTAATTTCTATATGAGGTATATGAGTCCATTCGAAAATATTAAACCGAACGATTGGAACTTACAAATAAAAAGTCTCCAAGTCCTCAAAATTCGCTATATTCTTATAGCCACCAGCACATAATTATATTCTAATTGTCATGAAACTAATTCATGGCAAACCTACTAAGTGAAACTATCAAATGAAGACTTGGCAGTGCGTGTGAGTTGGGCCGTAGTCGATTGCCCGTCCAAGTCAGCGGGTCCGTTCACACACTCGTTTCATGTAATCGCTGTAACGCCGATCAGTTGGCGAAAAGCTTGGCGCGGACGTTTGTCGGGCAAGGATGACCGACAAAGACGTTCCTTCTTAGATTTTCTTTCCCATTTTTGCTGACTGTTGCTCACGCCTTCAACGGCCCTACGAGTTCTGATCGAAGTCGCCAGTATCACAAGTGCATTATGAATTTGTTACGCCCGGTTTCTAAAACACTGACCATCGCAGAAATTAACTAATCAGCATACATCATCTGTGAAAATTACAACTGTCTAACTATCACGGTTCATAAGATACAGCCTGGTGACAAATGGACAGACAGACAGGCAGACAGCGGATTCTTAGTAATAGGGTCCCATTTTACCCTTTGGGTACGGAACCCTGAAAAGAACTTCTCATCCCCGTTTTTTTCTCATTTCAGCTTACCGAATATAGTTAGAAGTTACGAGATCACATTTAGAAGCACCAAAGATTGTACAAAAAGATTTATATGTCGATGTTTAGATGGTAAAAATGTACAAAGCATGTACGTGGTGATATTTTTTGTCGTTACGTTCAATAAGAGCTTAAATTAAGCCTAAATGGAATAAAGAAATTTTGACTTTGACAAGCAATGCATGCAAACGTGCGTTCAGTAAATGAAAATCCGTTGAAACTATCGATTTCTTTGCAAGGAGGATTTTTTTGTATTACAAAACATAATAAGCTTGTAAACAAAACATCAGAATTACTTCTTATCTCTGAAGTGGCAGAATTTTTGTTAACCTCGCCCTAATGTGCGCGCACGCACGATGACAGTAAACAGAGCCCGTCAAAGTTGACTGTCATCGGATGACACTCAAGTGCCGACGATGCAGGCGGCATATTTACGTGGGGAAATACACGAAACAGTTGACGTGACCCTAATTTCGAATTAATTTATGGGAACTATTCTTTCACTTGAGCGAGTTTTTAACTAACCATCACTTGACATCACTAAGCAAGGCCTTTACATCTATTCACTGCTGACTGATGAAATATGTTGACGAGTCCGTGTTGCAGATTCCCCCAGATATTTTTTTCGGATCTGGGTGCTTGTCCATTTAATAACTTTAACCAGGGTAATTTTAACCTACAAGAAGGAAAATGTTTAAAAAATATTTAAAAAATATCGTCACTCCACCGTGTCCTTAAATACGCTTTCGTTGTTTTTATTTTAATGTAGTATATACTATAAGATAATATTGGTAATATGTAATACTGGTATAGAAGGCTCGAAGTCAAAGTCAAAGTATATTTATTCAATATAGGCCTAACTTAAGCTCTTATTGAACGTCAAAAAAATCTACCACCGGTTCACTAAACTAGACCTGCACAGAGAAGAACCGGCAAGAAACTCTGCGGTCTTGTTCTTTTTGTTATATATATTTTTTAATGCAATTATACACACTTATTTGGGTATAAAATCAGCAGCAGCCAGGGGGCAAAGCAAGAGTCATTTCCAAACATCCTTGTCCTCTATGTATTCTTGGATATTATAGTAGGCCCTTGCCATTAAGGTAGCTTTTACAAATTGTTTGAAATTGTTTATACTTAGTTGTTTGTGGATGTCACCTATTATAAAAGTTGATGCATCTTCCAAGAAACGACTTTCTGGTTTTAGCCAATCTAAACCTCGGTACTTCCAGAGTGTCACCACGGCCCCGACGCGATGTGGATTGTTTTTCGTAAATAGGTGGATATTATTACGTACATACATGATGTTCTCAGTATGTAAAGTATGTAAAGTATGTATGTAAGTTTTCAGTATGTAAAGCGACAGACATCTCCTGTCAGAATCACACCACTGTGACCGTGTTGAACAGCGTCGAAAAGACGGAAACGGTTTTTGTTTAAGCTAAAAGCTTAAATTAAAATTTGTAGAAAAACGTACGAAAAGTTTCTCGCCGCTGCTGTGGGAATCGAGTCCGAAATCGGGATTCGCGCTCTGTCGCTTTAGTCACTAAGCTAAACTGCTGATAGCCACATTATAAGAAGATGACTCCGTGGCACAGTTGCCAAGGTATTGGCTTCGGCGTCGGGGGTCGTGGGTTCGATTCCTACACGGGACAACTATTTGTGCGATCCACGGATAGTTGTTTCGTATCTTTGTGTTTGTCCACGTGATATTTACGTTTGTAAAAGGTCCTTAGAACACGGGATAATGTATTCCTAAAGTGAGGGGAATGTTTTTTAAACCGAGTTTAAGACGTGAACTCAGCCAAACTCACCACGCTCCAAGACGAAAATGTAAAACAGCTCGTTGAGGTGCTCAGTGAAGTCAAAATGGCAATCATCGATAAAAATAATCTAAAAAAAAAAAAAAAAAAAAAAGAATAAAAAAAAAGAAATGCAATTGTCCAACAGGACCCACCGCGAGAGCTCGTCTACAATTCGCCCGCGTATAAATCAGTTCGTAATGCGTTATTAATAACTGTTGTAATCGCGACGATCTGGCGGCTAAACTGGATCCGGGGGCGGCTTTTTGCGGGGTCTAAGACGCCCCGGCTTCCCGCACCGGCCAGTTATGATACGAGGCATAACTCATTCAGCTCTTCTATGAACGATGGGTGCCATGTCGAGCAGTTCTTGCGTTGAGTTCGATCGGTTCCGTTTGACCTTTTTTGTGATCGCTCGCTTCGCCTTCGTATATACGAGTATTTGTGTCTACGTCTACGTAAGCTTTGTCTGTTTGTTCGTCTATAAAAGTAGACAAAGACGGGACAGTAGCCCTTGATAAGCATCAGTAATGTCTATAAAAATAAATCAATTTAAGTGCAAAGAGCAACTTCGTTACTCCAAGAATTTTATGCATACTATTTAAACAGTAAATAAAATCATACTCAAATCATAAACACTGGAACCGTCGATTATAATAAAAAAAATGGTAAAAATTTGTAAAATTGGTAAAAATACACCCCTGTATTATAAATGATATAACATTGGTTTTAGATCTTAAACTTTTTTTTAGTTAATTACATATCATTTATGCGCATCGACAAACCGTTTTATAAGCATAGCCTCGCCTTAAATTATTTATATATACGCTATGCAATATTGAAAAGTGAGTGGTGGATTACGCGTCGGTACAACTTGCGAGTGAAATGCTTCGGGTTTGATATATTATGGGAGCGCATATTTTTACTTAGGCCTCGCCCAACGCGGCTGCATTCGCGGTTGCAATGTCACCCCAGTGTATATAGTATAAATTCATAAAAATAAACTGAAAAACAAAGTTAGATCATTAATGTCTGATACTAGAAATCTCTATCTATATCTATATTTGCTCCTAATATTATATGGGATCATTAATTAAGTCGAAATAAATATAATTATGACAATTTTATGTGTGTATTTTTATATATTTATAATGTAAGTGTATTGATATTGTTTTGTACAGTGTGCCTGGTGAAGTCAGACATATACATTTACCGAATGGACGCGCTGCATTGCTACTCTGTGGCAGGAGTCAATCAGAACTCGGTGGTTCGCTTTTTGCCGGCGTTGCGCGATCCTCGCCCATCGCAGCGGTGGTCCACCCTCGGGACTGTTCTAATGAGCACTTTATTAGCCCGCGCGCGGCGTTTCGCCCCCTGGGCGCACGCAATAAGGCCGATAATCGCGTGCACCCTGCCAGGTTTTTTCCAAGCGCGAACCAGTTACGTACCCAATACGAAACGCGGCCGGTGATAAAATCGCCGCGGTCGCCGGAATTGGGAAGTGAGTCGACGGTCGAAATAATTAATTGAGTAGATCGAACGGGCTTCGCGACGATCCAGCGTAACGCAAAAAACCGCCGGTGTAGCTATAGGCAGGGAAAGATAACGTGTCAACATTTCACAGGGCGCTTAGTGAAATATATTGAGCGGGATAGCTCAGTCTCCGGGCGCTCGCATTTAATTCAATTTTCTCGAGCGACCTGAGTTCGATCCCCGGTGCCGGCACCAATGAAATTGTTAACTTTAAGTGCTGACTTATCATGTGCTCGGCGGTGAAGGAAAACATCGTGAGGAAACCTGAATATTTTCGAAATAATAAGAAAAAAATATTTCGAAAACATTTGAAGTCCGAAAATCCGCAGTGGGGCCGCGTGGTGGACTATGCCCTCTGTACAGAGGAGACCTTTGCCCAGTAATGAGCCAATCAATTAGTTTAAAAACGTGATCGGTTGTTTGACAGTGGCCGTACGCAGAGCACAAATGTAAGCACACTTTTATCGCGCTTACAAAAAATTGTCGTCTCTTGTTACTCACGACTGTGTAACCAACTCGCAATCTTAATCCACCCATGCATTTTTTTTTTTTTTTTTTTTATGTGAAAAGTTGCCAAACGAGCAGACGGTTCACCTGATGTTAAGTGAATACCGCCGCCCATAGACATCTGCTACACATGAGGGTTTGCAGATGCGTTGACATGACAACCTTTTTGGAAATTGGGTTCCGGCCACCTCACTCACCAGACGAAACGCGAAAGTATTTGTCATACTTCCACTTTACGCCGGTCTTCTGTGAGGTCGTGGTACTTACCCGGACGAGTCTGCCCATTCGTGCAACAGCCGAGGCTGCTGCGTGGCTCTACCACCGTTAATTGAGAAAACATTGTTAAACGCGACCAAAATTCCAAGACCGATGCAATCGAGTCCATATAAATTAAACGATACTACGAAATTAAAAGATAAATTTACGAAGAGACAAATCGACTCGTGTCAATTTATTCATTTTTTATTTTTGCCCTCAGATGGGTACTAAAAGGCTTAAGTGGTGAGCTGGTTTCGTAGAATTTTTGGCCTTAACAAAATGGATTGATTAGAGAAATACTTAAGCGAACATTCTTGGGGATCTTTATCATTTTAGCCGTAATTAAATTAGGTCTTCGGTATTTATTTCTAATTGCGAAAGCAATACGAAAACTGGATAAGTGCCCGATTTCCAAGAAAATACACGGCGTATTGTAAACACAATCGATAAACAACGTCATTATTATTTCAAATCGGGACAGTCTCTAACCTTGTATAAAGCAAGTGGAGAACGGCTGTCATATTTTTATTTGTTCTGCAACATCTTCCATTGAACACAAACCATCAGCACTTAAACTTACACAAATTAAAAATAAAAACTAAAGCACGGATAGAACATTAAATGTTCGAGGATTAGGATATAAAAAAGTTTTCATTATTCCGTTGTGATAATTGGATTATAGAGCCATTCCACTCCTTTCTTCCATATGTTTCGCTTTCTACGGAAACGAGAACGAGGGCATGACAACACAACGTTGAATTAAGTTCGCCATCAATCCGTCTATCCGTACGAAAGGAATGTTTCGTGGAAAGCTCTAAACCTTACATCACTAGGACTATGCCTGATGCCGAACTACGGCAGCTTCATTAGGCCGGACAAGATTTATTGTAATCTTAACATGCGGGAAACATCACATGAATCAGCTAAGCCCAGTGATGTCGGATGTCGCTACGTATGATACGCCGTGTATCAAACGGCGTTCTATGCACGTGAACATCTAGAATGCGATAGAAAGTCGAATGATCTGGAACGTGAAACTATTTATTTATTCACTGGTGCAATGGAGGCCTCGATGCCAATCGCATTTTCCATCGATTGTTGTTTTCCATCCATTGTTGTGGTCATCACCTATTAAGGCGAACTAGCAAATCATTTGCCACCTGCTCTGGTAAATAAAAAAATAGCGTCTAGTTCTTGCTTTCATAAATTACGAGGATTCCACGCGTCGGGCAGCGCGGTGTCCATTACGTAAACACGAGCGACACGGGTAAATGGTATATCATCATCCAATAATATTTGGCGGCGGTTGGGCAAACAACGGACCGCTCAAAGCTGGTGAGAGGGTAATTTGACACCGGTGAAGTTTGGAAACACCAGTTAGGTTTGGATCTCGACAAGATGTGGGACGCTTTAAGGCAAGAGAGAATAGTCTAATGTTGAGCCTGAATTTATCACTTTATTTATTTATTTATTTATTTATTTATACTTTATTGTACACCAAAAATAAAAATATATAAAAAGCAAATTACAAATGAATATAAAAGGAAGTACAATAGGCGGTCTTATCGCTCAGAAAGCGATTTCTTTCAGACAACCATTGTGAAAAGAATATTCTATTATAATCACTTCTATTATATTATAATCACTTCTAATAGATTACCGCATACCACCAGGTTTTTTGATGGTGGATTAGCTAGCCTGTGGTAAAATACCTTTATGGAGAATTTTGTAGTGATCAAAGAGTTGAAATGCGTTTAATCAAGCGTCAAAACAGCAAAAATCTTTGCAGATATTTGAACAAAAAATGGCTGTAAAGATAATTGATTTGGTTGTCTGATGCTGATCTTGGGCTAGTACACGATATTATCTTTGACTAACACAAACGGTTTGTATATCGTTGAACCGTCGTGGTCAAATACCAATTTCGGTATACTAAATACGTATTTCTTGGTTTAATGCAAAATTAAGGAAAATATCAATACTAGTAAAGAAATTGATTATTGCATTAAATAATGTTATGACACAGTCGATGGATCATAAACCAGCGGCAGTTAAAGAATATATAGAATATATAAAATAAAAAAAGGTTAGTTACAAAAAAACTGCAAATTATAACATTATTTTTGACAAAAGAAAAAGCTAATGGCTAAGCGTTCGACTAGTTTGAATATTGAATCATGGTCGAGTCAAATCCGTCTGACTCGTGATTCGAATCAATATTATGTAGCAACCCTCGCCTAGCCCAGAGCGGGAAGGCGAGGTAGTCTCGCTCACCGAGTGCTCGGCAAACTGCGCGTCTGTTTGCCAAGCGCACACCTGGTCCACTCTTGTTTTTCTAACGACGACCAGTTTTTTTTCCTCTCTCCTCTCCCAACAACAAACTTTGGGACGCGTTAATTTGACCCTAGTTTCCCTAATACGGTTTGTATAAACATTCGAGCGGCCGTCGGACCATGGAACGCGCCTCCACGTAACAGCCGACGCACAAACTGTACTTATTCGTTACGAGCCCGATGTAGTGTAGAATCGGCTTTCTATCGAATAGATTCAAATCGACTTGCTATCGAATAGATTCGATTTGCAATCTCGCTCTAATAGTTACAACCGTTTAAAAGTAACAAGGTCATATATGCACAGTGACAACTATTGCATGGATTTGATAATGTTACCAATCGCAATGCTTAGATCAAGATTACAAAGATCTGTCCGAATTTAATCCAAATAAATTCCTTTTTACTACTAATCCGAGGGACTAAGAAATCAAGAAAGCAATTGACAGGAATTTGTTAATTATCAACACTGGTCGCCTTCAGTCGATGTCTTCGATTTAAAATTGGGTTCACTTGTATAAATTAATTCTAATCTATCTAATCAAACGTGGCTTTCAAAACACGGCAGCTTAAGCAGTTTTTCTACTACACTGATTCGTAATGCCGTAAGACATGTTTGAATTAATAATGCAATAAATTAAAAATCTTCGTATGAATAGAATTAAAAAAAAAAACGAATTGCCAACGTATATATATAATCGGAATCTCGGAAACGGCTCCAGCGATTTTCATGAAATTTAGTATGTGCGTAGACTCGGGGGTGAAAAATCGATCTAGCTAGGTTTCATTTTTAGAAAATGTCCTTTTATCCCTGTTTTAAGGGAATGAAAAATATCAATCGAATATGACGGTAAATTTCGCCGAAATAAAAAAATGTTATAATAGCTCTTTCGGTAATCGGGCGGCCTCGAAACAGAAGTCCGTGGTTCGTGTCACGATCATTTACATACTTATTGTTTTACTTTTTTCGATTCCAGATAATTGCTTTCTTTATTATTTTTTTGTCCATACAGATGATTTGTTCTTTTTTCCCTTTTTTTTAAAGTTCTTTCTTTTGTGAAAAACACCAGTTCATATTTTCTTATTATTGCGTCGGTAAGGTCGAAAAATATGATGCATATTTCATTACTCAGTAATTTGTATGTAAATGTAATTTCCAAAATACACGACTTACCAAAAAAAAAAAACAAAGCGAGCAAAGCTCGGTCCTCCAGGTACTTTTATAAATAAGCCCTAATCTTTTACACTTTATAGGGTGAGCAGGGATAGCGAGTTCTTAACGCATAATGTTGCCGTACACGTGACAAAAAATCGAGTCATTCTTTTCCAAACATAATTATGATTGTAAAGAATTTTAAATTCTTAAATACTACTTAACTAATTTACTGTTAAAATATGTAGAAAAATGATGTAATGTTCAATGTAATGTTTGATCTCAAGTGCAAAGATTAGCACTATAAACAATTTAAATTTCTAATTTACTTTTACTTTTTTAAAAAGTAAAAGTCCGGGATTGGATCCCGCGGTCTCAGGTAGTTAGCCTGGAATTATCATACACTATACCATAACCGATATAAACTTTTTAAGACCGAAGTATCTGTATAAGACGAAAAAAATTTAAGCAAATTTTGGTATGGGATGTAAGTCGAAAATGAATAAAATTATGACCCTTCAAAATATTAAAATTAATTGGTGCCTATTTATTAGAATCATAAGCGTGTGTGTAATAAAAATAAAGCAATATGATAATTATTAATGTCTCGGTAATCGAAAGGGCAGAACTAGTTTCCCATAAAAAAGTGCCAATGGGATTAGAGCTCAAAGGATTCCGTACAAGCTTTATAGAACGATAATTTTAATTTGATTCGGCCATTGTTATTGTGATGATTATTGAGTCAGAACGACAGAAAGACAATGTCTATTCGGATTCTTTCCTTTCCTGTGAGTAGAGTGGAATAGCTTTATGACTCTGTTGGGTTCACAGACGTGACAGCGTGTTGTATATATTAGCGTACAGTGTCAGGCTACAAACACGCGAGAATAATTGACCATGTAATATTGATGATAAGTCATGCATGTAAAAGAATCAAGTGAAATCACCATCCTTAATTATCCCACTTTGGGGGCGAATAGCACATACAACATGGTTCACATCTGAATCATGTTGTATGTGCTATTCGCTATTTTTTAAGACCTAATTGAACCCACGACCCCGAAGTCTATAGCAACTGCGCAACGGATGCGTCAAGTGAAATAGAATAACTAATTTGAGCATACATGTCAATCCTTTATGACATCTAAATCCTTATTTTGTGATCTAACCACGTAAAGTCGGTAAAGTTAAAGGAATGGAACGTGAACCCAATATTTTAGAGGAACCATCTACGGCAACTTAAGAACTTAATATAACGTAATCAACGATGATAAATTAACCAAACACTAACCTAACAGTCGAGCATAAGCACCGTACTACATTATTGCTGATTAATTAAAACAAATTCATCACTAACCTCAAAATTTCAACCACTTCGGATCTCTATCCATCTAAGTTAGCACTATCAACGGAGGTGGGCATGTGTTACGTCATTTTAAACATGCGATGGTACGTAACAATGAACTATTTATTGTCTGTATAACTGTGGTAGGACAGCTTCTGCATTTACACGAATGGGTAGGCTCGTCCGGGGAAGTACCACGGCCTCACAGTCCAGCATGAAGTGGAAGTATTAAGCTTTCGCGTTTCGTCTGGCGAATGAGGCAATCGGAGTCCACTTTTTTAAGGCGGCAGTTGTAGATGTCCATGCGAGCTTGACAACTTTTCACATAAAAAAAATTAAATTCTGAAAAAACCTAGAGTGTAAACTGTAACCTCTTCGGATATGTTCAATTCCCTTAATTGTTTTATTGGCTTTCTTTTAAGCAAATCAGCTAAGCCAGTGAACGTAAGTTAGCGTAACGCAAACCCAGCGAGCGAGTGTAACGCTCTCTTAATCCACAACTTGACTCCAATTAAGGTCGGGCCACAACTGCGACTGCTCGCTCACTATCCGCTAATTGAGATTAATCGCACGTCCAACTGTCTGTTTTAAGTCTCTAATGATTATTATGTAATTAACGGTACGGTTTTTCAGCTCCGCTATTTGGATGGATGAATGCCGGTGTTGCGTTTGTTTTCGTAATGGGTTCGGAGAAGGGAGTTGGGGCCGTGCATTCGAATGATCTGTACATTTTTTCTTTTACGTAAATCAACCGTTTGTTAGATGTAAATGTTTATTAAACTCTTGTACAATTTACACGAATACTGTGACAAAGTAGGCAGTGGTTGCTAGGTGGTGGAATAAGATTGTACACATCGAATTGACGAGCTCTTACGTGTGATTATATGTATCTCAAATCCAGTTATACCGCAATTGTCTTTCAACCGCATTTACATGTCATATAATTTGTTTTCAATTGTTTTAAAAAAAAAATCAATTGAAAAAAAAAATCTTTAGGTTGTTTATTAAGGGTAAACTGACTTAAGATAACTTCTTTTCTAGAATTGTTAATAGTAGTTCTAAAGTAAAAAAATCTTCTTCAATTCTTTATCGATTTCTTGTTTTTACGCGAATATTATACATGATTAAATGAAATTATTTTAGACACTTTATCGTATTTCATTTTGATTTACGGGATAGATCATGAATTCATGGTCCTTCGCAAGCAGTTCCTGCTCTCCCGTTCGAGCACGCATAAGATAATTTCGCGCATCGGTAATCCGATGAACGATATACTGATAGGCGATCCTGTGCGTACATGTAAATGAACGTACTTAAAAGCGTTTCTCAATCCATCTTGAAGCAATCCCAAATTGAAAAAAAAAAAAAAAAAAAAAAAAAAAAAAAAAAAAAAAAAAAAAAAAAAAAAAAACTTCAAGCAACGCCTCAACTTCGATCTATAATCCCTACGCCTTATTAGACCAGTGAGGCACCGCTATCGGTGCGTTCGTATTTAATGCACATAATTGATTCCACGTACACATCGGAATTGGATTAGACGGGGCCTCACTGACAGCTGTCAAAATGCAATCGCCCGCTAATGTTTCCTGCCGCAGCCGAGATAACTCGATCGGGCGTCGGCAGGACCCGAGAGTGACTTTGTCCTTTACAGTAATTAAGCATTAGATAAGGAGGGGCGTGCACTAATGCGATTAACGAATTAGTGGCCACTGACCCGAGATATTGACGGTCTTTTTTCTACCGGTCTAGTCTGTGTCAAGCTTAACCGAAGACGGTCAACGGTTACATTTAATATGAATATTCGGAACACTCATAGATAGTCATCTAACAATAATTTACTCCTCAGAGATTACAATAGGACACGCAAAAATCACGCCAAAGGTTTTAATTTCGATTTACTCGTACCAATAATACCTGAAACCTCGTTTACTGTACTAGAGTCTTGCAGCAGTTTTTGTAGTGCAACAGCCCGACCCGTAGCTACTGTTGTATGCTCTTTGTTGGAAGTGCTTAACTGGGAGACAGAGAAGGGGGAGTAATTGTACTTTCGCATTTCCGAGCCAGCAATAAACCTCCCGCCATCTAGTGAACCATCTCCACTTGCCTTCAAATTTCAGTAGTTTCTACTCCCCACGACACCTAAGGAAGCCACACGCGGAGGTACTAGATTGACGCCTAATCAGCGAGTCAAAGCGAACCTCCAGTCCTGTGACGATTGGCTTATAACCGGCGCGCAGCTCAATGGCGATTGTTATTCCTACACCAGCGCGGGTGTTTTGCTGCCGCCCGCCAGCCTTCCCGCCCTTCTCCCCGCGAAATCCACGAGCGGCCATTGTATACAATAACGCTTGTCGAATTGCGCTTCGATTAGCCGCCGCCCGGAAGGCGGCTGCACCGCTGCGCCCTCTACATTGCCTCTCTGCCCAGTCGGTAGGGATACGTGGAGTGTACCCGAGCAGAAGTGAACGCGTAAGTCCGCGATAGTGTCAAATGGAGAACGGTAAACGACCGCCGCCGTTCGTTCGCAGTCGCATCACGTTTTGTCAGTGCCGTGAGAGAACGCGCCGCTCATCTTAGAACCCGCGACGTTGAGTCGCTTCGGGATTCGACGCAAGATTTTCGTTTCGCTGACAATACCTACTTGATTCGGATGCAATGGACATTTCTTTTCCAAGGTTCCGACAAAGCCGAGGTTTGAAACTTTAGGATTTACTAATTAATCAGCTTTCTCCGTAGATACCGATGAGTTGAATAAACAATAAAAAAATAACAAACTCGTTAAATAAAAGTAATTCTGTTTTTATTTTAAATTTGCAATGTCTTGAATAATTTGCCACACGTATTAGATAGCCCACGATAGTTAGTTTATAAATTATATATTTTGATGTTTACGATAATTTTTGGAAATTAATAAAATCCGTGAAATATTTCATGCAGTGTTTGGTGTTGTTATTATTAATAATACAACATACCGTAAAATTTTAAATGATGGCAACTCCCTTTACAATGGTACTACTCCATATAACCGTTTATAGCTATAGATTTAAATTTATATACCACGACTGCAACTACTTCTACATTCTGAGATGGGATCGATGATTCTTCTTCACTCTGTTATAAGATCATATAATATTTTTAAGAATTAAACATTTTCATTTTCATTTTGAGAAATAAGAGAAGAAGATAAACCTTATGGATCTTATTACAGAAGTATTTTAAAGCAATCAAAAGTAATGGCTGCTTAGCAACGAGCCTTTTCAACCTCGTACACGACTTACATACATTACAGATGGTCTTAGCAAAGATATAAATGTTCGCCATCAGTTAGAAGCTAAACTTCTCGGTGAAACATTGCAGCGCAGTGCATTTTTTAATCCTTTATAAAACATAAAACTTATTAACGTTGTTTACACATAATATTTTACTGTATTATATGAATATTTGTCTTGTTTTTTTACCGACATCCTATGTACTTACTTTGATGTTGATAGATATTAATTACGTTATGTAAAGTATTACAACCAGAAAAAAAAAAGAAGTATGTACCATCGTGTAAAGTATCATTGAATATTAATTGGCAAGTAAAATTTGAAATCAATAAATATATTTATTGCAATATGTAACTTTACAAGTAAATATATTTAGTTTTGTAAACGTTATACTTCTATTACCAGATATAGGTACCTGGAGGACCGAGCTATGCTCAGTTTTTTTTTTTGGTAAATCATGTATTTTAGAAATAAAAAATAAAGAAAGCAATGATCTGGTATAGAAAAAAGTAATATATATTAAGTGTGTAAATGATTGTTTTGGGGCCGCCCGATTACCGACCGACCTACTAAAACATTTTTTTTGCGGCGAAATTTACCGTCATATTCGAATAATATTTTTCATTTCCTGAAAACAGGGACAAAAGGACATTTTTTAAAAATGAAACCTAGCTAGATCGATTTTTTGCCCCCGAATCTACGCACATACTAAAGAAAATCGCTGGAGGCGTTTCCGAGATTCCGATTATATATATACAAGAATTGCTCGTTTAAAGGATAAGATATATCAGTTAATAGAAGTATAACGTACCAAACTTTAGGGTTACTTTAACAAATGTAGTTAGTATACTTTACATTCTATCAGCTATTACAATTTATTTTTTATATCAAAAAAATTTAAGCCAAGCCGGACTTAGGTTGACAGAGAATAAGCCTATGTACCATACCAAAACGCTGGCAACACTGACGACAAACGCAAACCTGGAGCCAGAATGATCTCATGAGTGTTGCAATTACTGAAGTCCGTACAGGTAGGAACGATGTGGAATTGTATTAACCAGTCGGCTAAAAATAAAGCGGGGTGGCGTGTGTGCCCGCCGAGATTGCTCCCAGAGCCGGGGGGATGTAATGCACGGGTCGGGGGGGGGGGGGGGGAGCCGGTAAACCGGTTTGACCCTGGGCCCTCATGCCACTATGCTGTAGCCGATTGACTCCTTAATTCTTATAATTTGGGGGCCATAAATAAGCGCTTGCGTTAACTGTACACGAACTGCCCGGTCCCTCCAAACGCGGCTGTTATATGAACGTTAGAGCGACGGTTATTGGGGGAAAAGTCTTATCTTACGCGATAATTCGCGAGACGTTTGATACTTTTAATATCTTTCTTGATGGAACCGGCGTAGCGCTCAATTCTTGAAACTTCTATCATTATATATCTTACCCAAGAATTATCCATTCTATATAATAACTGAATACTAGGCATAGTCTGATGTGTAATTGTTGTATAATCTTTGTCGTTTGTACCTTTGTAACTTTTGGAACACTAACGTGTATCTTTATAGGAATGGAACGTTCCTAATGTAATTTAAATTTCAAACGTTGACGTTCACATTTATTGAAAACGAGTAATTTTGTGAGCGAGTTCCTGATATAATTTAAATTTGGAACACTCCACAACAATCGTAACTGTTCCCGCCGATGGCATTAATTTCAATTTGGAACATTGATAAGAACATTCCGCGACAGAACTCATAAATCGAACTCCCAATTCGAGTTTGGAACATCGCGACGCACAAAGGCATTGTGACGCGTGAACTATAGGACAATCCTTCCGTTTGACAGGAGAATGTCTACGGGCACGCCACGCTAGTGTGCGTAGGGTGCAACAGCGGCCCGCCCGTGTGTGCGTGTGCACTTGACGCGACCGGTTCCGCCGACCTGCGACCACCGACACACTCATTCAATTTGTCTAGCATATATGTTTATCGTACATCACGACACGTCGACGTCTGCGCCACGCATACCAGAATCTATGTGTAATATCACCGGATACGTGATTTCGATCGTCTTTGTTTTTTTTTTCAACACATGAAAAGCGTACGCTTTCGGCCAGTGACACGGAATATGTAACACAATATTAGGTTCATAAGATTTTTAGAATATTAAAAGACATTTTTCAAAACATACACAATGAGTTTAAGTAGTTTCTTATTGGAATCAACATAAATATGGATATGGAAGTTTATCTAAATTATGAAAACTTATCTGTGTGTCCCACAAATACCGTTCCCGTGTGGGAATCGAACAGCGACTCGCTTAGCGACTGTGCCACCGAGCCTTTTATAATAATAATACTTTACTTATTATGATATTGTCTCGTCTCAGTCCAATGGAACGTTTGTTCCATTGGACTGAGACGAGACAATATCATTCAACGACGAGACAATATCAACTAAAGCTGTTTAGCTTTAGTTAAAAATACACGTTCATTGTGGTAACTTGTATGTAAGCCTATTTGAGTTGTTTTTCAGGTTACCAGACTATCCTTTGAAGTACTCAGATAAAAAGAAACATTTAAAATTGTTTGTTGAAATTTATAGCGCGGGAAAAGTAGCTTGTTAGTCTAGTTATTTTTTAAGCCCATATGTCTGCTTTCGTAAGTGTGCTTGTTTATTTGTTATAACACTTACTTATTACACCACAACAGTGCATTATCGTGGGCGCTGCATCAGAATTAAACTGTTTGAGCCGGGGAGGTGCTCGCGGTGAACGCACCGCGTCGGCTCACGCTTACCCCGGGGCTGTGGGGCACCGGTCGCGCCAAGAACCCAAGCTGTAACGACTTGCCCGTAAGCTATACTCAAGGACGAGCCAACCGGAAAATGTGCCGTGAATGCGCGAGATTTATACAGGAGATGAAACGATCAAACGTTGAAAACAAACAATCATCAAATGATAAAAAAGTTTTAGAAGGAACCTCGATCAAAAGTCAACAAGTGGGATTAGAAGTTAGAAGGAAAAAAAAACAACACAGCGGTACATAAAAATACAGGAGGTAGCAAAGGATCAACCGTCGCATAATAAAAGGGGATATGAAAGTCTTAGAAGAAACTTTAATAAAAAAATAAACAACCCCCAAAAAAAACAAAAAAAATAAAAGCCACTGGGTTACGAAACAAAGGAAATTTAATAATTAAAAGGAGAAAAAATTCCGAATATCTTTTTTTTAAATCAAAATAATACGCTAAACATCCTTTGATTACTTTAATTTAGCAATGTGTAGCAATACCAAAAGCTCAAGAAATCACTAAGCACTAACACAACATCACTAGCACTACACTAAGTAATTTATTACATTAAGGTTTTTCGGTTTAAATAACCGACAATGGGATAGCATTCTGAGGGGAGACTGTGATATTGGCCTCGCATCAAATGATGTAAATATTCAAACATTGTGAATCTAAACCATTCTCGACCTGAAGACGTTAGGAGGAGTTCAATGACATAACCACGTACAGAAGAATTATATATATAAAGACTAGCGAGCCGCCCCGGCTTCGCACGGGTGCAATGTATTATGCATATAACCCTTCCTCTTGAATCACTGTATCTATTAAAAAAACCGCATCAAGATCCGTGGCGTAGTTTAAAAGATCTAAGCACACATAGGGACAGACAGACAACAGGATGACTTTGTTTTAAACTATGTAGTGATAACGGAAAGGGAAGTCGAAATAACGGTTCCGAAATCTGTGTTTTTTCTTCTTTTTTTCATGCACTCGTTCGTAAACCGTAAGTAAGGGATCCCCGTCGCCTGATGAGCACGTTCGCTGTCCTGGGGCTATGGGCCAGCGAGCCAGCTGCCGAGGTAACTTATCGCAATACATCCTGTCCTTGAAACGTGTTTGTCTTATTGTGCCCATATTCTTTTGTTTGTTTGCACATCGCTTTATATCGTCTAGGATTTCGTCGAGCCATAGTTAAGCGATTACTGCGCCCTTTAAAGATCACGAAGTAGACTTTTTTTAAAAGAAAACGAACGAGATGAAACATCTTTAACATAA